CACCGCGTTCCGTACCTGAACAATTACTTACCACAAGCCCCACCACCCTTCCCTTACCTGCACATTATATTCACACTCCCCACACCACCTTTCCCGTACGCTTGCACAATCTATTACGACGGCCGCCAATCCCTACCCATCCCTTACCTGCACATATATTACCACACCCATCCCCCACCGTTCCCGTTCCTGCACATATATACACAAACCCCACCGCCACCTTCCCCGTACCCTGGCACAATATACTACACCCGCCCCACCTTCCCCGTTCCTGCAACAGAATACTACACCCACCCGCACCCTTCCCCCGTACCTGGAATGGAGAGGTTCGCGACCGCAGTGACGAGCGCTGGCAGAGACGCCGCGACGAAATACGTGTAAACGGGTTTTTTTCGGCGTCACACGCCGGAAGTAGATGAGGGCAGCACGACGATGCCGTGTATGGCGACCCCGTCACGCACGGTGGCCATGTACATGCCGAGTAAATGCGAACATCTCCTCGAAGTCCTCCGTCTCCAGCAGCTTTGCGGCGAGGTCAGCGACATGATGCCGATCGCGAGACGCCTTGAATTGTGAGGCCGTCGCCGTTCATTACGGTGGTGGGTGGATGGATGGAGGGTGGGTGTGGATATGGTGGTTGCGGTTGGTGGGGGTGGTCGGTGGTGGTGGTGGTGGTGGTGGTCGCGTGGCAACGGCCGGCGGCGGCGGTGGTGGCAGCGCGTGGTCTGGCGGTGGTTGGGTGGTTGTGGTGGTGGTGGTGGTGGGCTGGTGATGCGTGATGGTGGTGATGGTGGTGATGGTGGTGATTGCGGGTGGTAAGTGGTGCGTGGTGGTGATGTGGTGATGTGTGGGGTGGCTGGTGGTGGCGTGGGCGTGGGCAGAGGCGGTGGCGGTGGCAGAAGGCGGTGGTCGGGTCGTTGGTGGAGGGTGGCGGCTGGTGGTGGTGTTGGTGGTGGACGGTGGGTGGCCGCGGGGTGGCGATGGTTTGGCGTGTGTGGTGTTGTGGAGGTGTGGTGGTGTGGCGGCGGCGGGCCGGCGGAGGCGGTGGATGGGGTGTGGTGCGGCGCGGCGCGGTTGGTGGTGGTGGTGGTGCAGCGGCGGCCGGCAGCGGCGCGGTGGTGGTCGTTGGTGGAGGCGGCCGCGGTGGCGGTGGCGGTGGTGGTGGTGTGGTGCGATTGGTGGCGGTTGTGGTGGTGGGGCGGTGGCGGTGGCGGTGGGTGTGGTGGCGGTGGCGCGATGGTGGCGGTGGGGGTGGCGGTGTGGTGTTGGTGGGTTGGTGGAGGTGTGGTGCGTGGTGGTCGGCGGCGGAGCGGCGGCGGCGGCAGCGGCGGCGAGCGGCAGCGGCGAATCGGCGCAGCGGCGGCGTTGGTGGGTGGTGGTGTGGTAAAGCGGGTGGCGGTGGGCGGTGGTGTGGCGGCGGTGGCATGTGGGCCGGCGGGCGGCGGGCGGGTGGCGGCGGCCGGTGGCGGCGGCGGTGGCGGCGGCAGTGGCGGCGGCGTGTGGCGGCGGCGGTGGGGCGGTGGCGGTGAACGGTGGGGTGTGGTGGGGTGTGGGCGGTGACGGTGGTGGTGTGGCGGCGGCGGTGGCGATGCAGAGGGGTGCGGTGGCCGGTGGTGGTGGTGGTGGTGGTGGTGGTGGTGGTGGCAGCGGTAGTGGTGGTGGTGGTGGTGGTGGTGGTGGCAGCGGCGGTGGTGGTGTTAATTGACATGGTATGAAATGACGTGACGGGACATATCATGAAATAATAACAAGCATATGACTAGCCGTTGGGTTTCTTACCACATGACATAGTGGACGAGCTTCATTACGGCTTCATTGAGTGCTTCCAGTGCGTCTACCAGAGGTCGCGATTTTTCCGCAGGTAGTCTGGCCAGTATGACTCCAAATATTATGGAATACACGACAATGCCCAAGATATTCATTCCTGCCTTTGGCACTATCTCGAAGTCCCAGGAGTATAATTCCTCTTCTATATTATGTCAAGAGGAATAGATATGCATAAGATTCTTATACGCATGGTAATAGCTATAGCCAACATATTCATATAGTGTTTAGTTATCGTTAATGATTCTTTCGTTTTATGCCTTTCTTTGAGTTTTTCCATATAACTCAAACTACTCAAACAAGTATACTCAATATACTTGTATATTACCCATATATAGCTCCTGATATTCTAGCTCATATATAGAATCGAATATTTTCACGACATTCTGATAATTACCGTATGTAGTATCAGGCATGTCTGTGGTTACTTCTGGTGCTATTGTGGTGTTTTCTGTGATATTCGGCTCTATTAACCTGGTTACTTCCTGTATTCAGCGGATACAATGTGTGGGTGATGGTGGATTGTCATAAAGTTCAGGAAATAATTTTTTTAAACGTAATATTAAAAATTAAACAACTGGTAAATACATCTTCGAGGGATTTACACTTAATTATTAAAGTTTTGAGGCACTTAATATCTCTGAAAGTATAGATATCTTTTCAGCCCTCATTGTTT